CATCCCGCATACGTAACCGTCCAACGCGACTCCCATGGCCTGAGCAGCAGCGAATGACGGGTCACCCGATGGACAATAAGGTCAAGAGTGGATGGTCAGGGGAAGGTGACCCTTGACCGGCCTAGCCACCCGTGCCCGCCACCTGTCGGCCGTTCCCTGGGCCCGGCACCTCGTCAGGAGAAAGTTAGGTATATAAGAGTTGGTAGGCCGGTGCCACACACTGTCTCCTTTCCCGTCCCTCGAGCCCTCAGGACGCCATGGTCCCTCAGGTGAGTTCCTTCGCCGGGTTCGTCCGTCTCTGCCTCCTCAGGAGCTTCTTCGGCGCACACATCCTGCAAAGGCCGATTCCTTCGCGAGGATTCTTGATCTCTGCATTTCATTACTCGGTGTCTTTCGGTTGTCAACAGTCTCGCAACGCACAGCGATCTAAAGATAAAGTGTGAAACGAAACAATAAGCACAAAGCATCAACTGTGCTAATAATAACAACAGTAATTAACAATTTGCGGCTATATCGAAAGCAGTCAATAAGGCCACAAAATATCGGCCCGTTTATCTAGGATTAACTACAGGATTTTACGTAGTCTGATAACCTGCTATTTGCTATTAGCATTACACTAACTGATCATACAACAGAATGAATCACTACATTAGCCAGTGCTGCAACAGACATTTGTACAGCGAAAAGCGTTTTTTATGAATTATCGTATTCAAAGCGTAAAATAAAACATTTTCATAAACAATCTGTAAATTCACATATCTATTCCGTCACGTCATATTCTATTCCACGTGATCATCACTGCGGCGCCACTGCCATATCGCTACCGTCTATATTCCGCTATCACTAAACAACCAGCAAAATGCTTGTTAGTCGAACACCAATATGGGCGAGCGTTGAAACCAATCTTTATTGTGATATAAAATAAACATCAACTCTTCACCAGCAGCTTCAGATATCACTGAACACGTTTGCCGCGTGACCATGCAAGCCATTCCTTAGGGTGATAAGGACTATTTTACACTAAAATAAACTGGCAATGAAACAAACCAACGCTTTTCTTTCGTTTGTTTTACTTTTGTTACTGCGGTTAGGTTTTCGTTTTCCGTTCAATATGTTTTGATCATAATTATCTGTGACGTTACATGATATTTCGCGTTAAAGACGAACCACTGGATGAGCATATAATTAATAGCCTACTACTCCTACCAAAACAGTCAAAGATTAGACAAGAAATGTGTCTCACAGATACTTCAGTGAATAGCCATAGTATCCACCAATTGACGGATAAACAGATAAGAGGATAAAAGGAAAACAATATATTATTACTTAGCTTTTCACTATTTCATTTCTTTCTTTCTTCCTCCTTCTTTTTCTTTCTTATTTTCTTCGTTCCTTAATCACTACTATCTTTATCTGACAACATGATAGTCTTCCTCACTTTTTTCATAAGTCATTGTCTAATATCATTTCCTACACACCTTAAATTTGGTTGACGAATCACTTTCTTTCACTTCCTTATCATTTAACTTATGATAAAAAAACATACATATCTAACATCATGTGCTCTCCTAAAACAGCAAAACCTAATTTAATTCAATCAAATATGACCATTTTCTTTTATCACTTTACCTAAAATAAACACCTGAAGATATGATAACTTTAGACTTTTCTATTTCCATACTAACACTAGAATACCAATTTATAATATACGAGATATCAACATTTTACATAATAACACAAAAATAAATTACAAATCAAAAATCTTCCTCGCCTTTTTTCTATATACTCCCTTATATACCCCCATTTCTTCTCACATCATTTTTTTTTTCTTTCTTGTTTCACCTGATTCCCATAACCTCACCACACTCCCTACCATATAATTAACCACCCTATGTTACGCTGAACATCAAAAAAAAATCTCCCATCTCCCCCCCTTAATCGTTCTTAATCATCAACAATCGGCCCTCCCACAATCTTACAATCTCATATTTCCACTCAATCTCTTTATCTCTCTCTCTATCTCATCACTCTCTCTCCTCATGCTCTCAGTCTCAACTCTCTCAAATCGTCAATCAAATCACTCCTCTCACTCAAAAAATTAACAAAACAAAGAATCCTTTATCTCTCTCTAACATACTAATATCCGTCCAGACACTCTCCCACCATCACTACATACGATGCATCTTCCACAATTATCCGATCTCTCAGGTCTCAATAAATTCAAGAACCGAAGTAAACTAAACTAACCGGTCCTCCTCTCCCTCTCCGCTTCTCCTCTATTCTCCCTCCACCCCCCTCCCCCCTTCTACTCCTATCCCCTCCCCACCCCTCCCCTCCACTCCCCCCCTCTCCCTCTCCTCCTCCCACTACCCCCTCCCACCCCACCCCCTCCTCCTCCCCCACTCTCTACCCCCCCATCCTCCCACCTCTACTCTACCTCTCCCCTCCCCTCCTGTCTCCTCTCTCGCTCTTCTATCCCCCTCTCTTCCCTCTCATTCCTTCAACTCCCCTCATCTCCCTCTCCTCGGTCACTCTCTCCCAACTCTCCTCATCCTTATTTCACCCACAAACCGGTCAGCCTCTTCCAAACCATTCTCAACATACCTACCTCACATCGGTTCTCTCCTCTACTTCTCCTCCTCTCACTGCCAACACATCCCACCATCCCCCCCCACGTGACCCCCAACCCCACACTCCACCCACCTCACCAAACCTTACACTCGCATCACTCTCATCTATCGGCGACTCTCACTTAAAAAAGTAAGACCTCAGCATCTCTCTCTCTCTCTACTCCTTTCCCTCCGTCTTTTTTTCCTTTGTTCTCTCTTATTTCTGCTTCCTACTTCCTTCCCTTTCCTCGCTTCTCCTTTTCTGTTTCCCTCTTTCTCCTTTTCCTTGGCCCCTTCTCTTTTCTCTTTTCCTTCCTTCTGTTTGTGTGTCGTATTCTTCTTTTCTTCTTGCCGTTTCAGCTAGCTCTCTTACACCGCGCGACTATGTTCCTCTTATACGCTTTACCTTACCTCTCTTTCTTCTCTTCTTAATCTTCTTCCTCTTCATTTTCTCCTCCGTCTTCTTGTCTCCTTTCTCTCTCTTTTCCCCTTTTTCTCTTATCTCTCTCTTCTTCTTCTCTCCTTCTCTTTCTTCCTTCCCCTCTATTCTTTTTCTCATCTTCCCTCCCACGATTATTCTATCTATTTCTTCTTTTCACCCCTCTATCCTTATATACTCCTCTCTTCTTCTTTCTTACTCCTACTTCCACGCATCTCATTACCACTAAATATCTTAACTCTGACGATCCGGAAGAATAAGCAGAATAACGATCACATTAGATTAATAGAATGATAATTATAATATAATACAGAATATTATAGATGATATATAAATAAATATATAGTTTTAAGATAATAGATGAAATAAATAGTTACGTTATAATGGATAGCCTTTGCCAGCACTAAATTCCTAATTAGAAACAAAAGACGAGAAACCAATATCAAAAAATAAAAAATAGTACGAAAAGACTAGATATCATAGAATGATACAAGAATTCAAGTAATCAATAGCATAAATAATATAAATACGAATAATAAAAGATAATACAAATAAAATACATAAGTCAAATTCGTAATACGAGATCGAAAGTAAACTAGAACTAATTATAAGAAAAATAATTCATATAAAATCAAAAAAAGATTACAAGATAAGATCAGAAAGCATACAAAAATCAAAATCATATTTATCAATCAATTCATTTTCCTCCTCGTCCTTTCCCCCACCTCATTCTCTCCTCTCTCTCTCTCTTCTCCTCTCTTTCTCTCTCCCTCACTTAATCTCCTCCTCCCACACTCTCACCTCTCCACTCCTCACTCTCTCTCTCTCTCTCTCTCTCTTCTCTTCTCTCTCATCTCTCTTTCTCTCTCTCTCTCCCCTCTCTCTCTCTCTCTCTCTCTCTCTCATACTTACTAACTCTCACTCTCAACTCTCACTGCTCACTCTCTACTCATCAAACTCTCATCAATCACCTCACACATCCAACTCTCTCTCGCCTCCTCCTCCACTTTCTCATCATCATCCTCTCACATCCACAAATCTAAACACCTACCTCCACTCCTCCCTCACACATCGACTCCTCCATCTCTCCTATATAAATCCTATCTCCCATACTCATTCATATCATTTCTGTACTCAAACACTCGGTATGTCATTATCTTACCTTTCTTTACTTCATGTGATGTGTAACAATCAAGGAATCACAGCAAGCCTAACACAGGCGGTACATGTCTTAGTTATTAATAAAATAACCATTACCTGTTTCTGTTCTCTGCGGCAAATCCCCACCAGCGGACGAAATTCGTTGCCTTTTGCCGCCAACCCTCGGCCCCGTCTCTCTCTCTCTGCCTCTTCTCGCGTTCTCTTCTCTTCTCTTTCTCTTCTCTTTCTCCCTCTCTTTCTTCTCTTCATCTTCTCTTCTTCTTGCTTCTCTTCCTCTTCTCTTCCTCTTCTCTCTCTCTCTCCTCCTCCCCTCCTCTCTCTCTCAGTCTCTCAACTACTCCTGCAATCCAAAATAACAATTATCCTCTCCATCTCCCCCTCTCCATTCAACTCTCCCGTATCTCTTTTCCTTGACTCGCCAGCTCTTGCTACTCTTACTCATCATTCTCCTCATCTTCCCTTTCTTCACTCTCCCTCTTACCTCCTCTCTTCTCTCCCTCTTTCTCCTCTCTTCCATACCTCCACCTACATCATCGAATCAGGATCACGATAAAAAAGCTCTCTAAATCAATCATACTTAACATTCAGAAAAACACAGAAAAAAAAAAAAGGAAAGAAAGAAAAAAAAAAGAGAATACAAGAAATCAAAAGATAACAGAAAAAAGAGAAAAGAAATGGACAATACAAAGCAGAGAATGAGAGCAGAAAGAGGAAAAGAAAAAATAGAGAAGAAAGAAAAAAAAAAAGGAGAAAGAGAAAAAAGAGGAAATGAGGAAAGAAAGGAAGGAATAAAGAAAATCGAATCAAATTGGCCTCCAATCATTCAGGAAGTACTAATGAAAGCGAACGCCAGTCAGAAACTCTGCTCAGCACTCCAGTCTCTCTCAGGAAGAGAGCATAATCACAGATAACAGACACTCAGGACCCGATCGGAAAAGAATGCAGGCAATGCAACGCTCCGCCCCACCTCTCTCTCATTCCCTCTCTCATCCCTCTTCTCTCCCTCCGTCCCGCTGCGCTCCTCCTCTCCCTCTCCCTCTCCCTCTCCCTCTCCCTCCCGCTCCCCCTCCCCCTCGTTCACCTCCCCTCCCTCTCCTCCCTCGTCCGCTGCCTCTCTCCCTCGGTTCCCATCTACTCTCTCCCTCTCTGTCCCTCCTGCTCCTGCTCTTCTCGCTTTCTGCTGCCTTCTCCTCTGCCCTCTGTCTGTCTCGCCGTGCTCCTCGTGCTCTCTTCTCTGTTCTCATGCTTGATGTCGCGTTCTACTATGACGCCTGGACGAGTCATCCATTGGGCCCCGCGACGATCGGTTGTGCCCCGAGGTTAGGAGCGAGAGGGAGAGAGGAAAATAAGTAGTGGTGGATTTTCGGCGTACGAATGGCGGGCGAGCGACCACGCAGCCCTCGGCGCATGATATCACGGCGGCTTTTCTGTTCCAAATATAAAAGCATTTTATTCCCATCCGTTTTCAAGCACGGAGAGAGATTGCTTTTGTCGGGTTTGTGTTGCTGGTCGTTAAGGAAAACGCGTCTGAATGCGCCAACAAGAGAGGGGGAGACTGAAAGTGTTTTTTTACAGGGTTTTGGACGCTGATAAAGGTCGCTGTTTGAACATTTCAGAAGAATATCAAACTGAATGATATTGAAGATGAAACTTGTGTGTGGTAGTGTGTGTGTGTGTTGTATGTGTGTGTGTTGTGTGTGTTGTGTGTTTTAGACCTCTTAATACAGGTATGTAAATAAAAATATCTTAATCCGTGTACATTATACAGTCTGTTCTAATGGTGCTACCCCATGTAATTCTATTCAGATCAGGACAACTAACAAATCAAGAAAAAATTATCAACTTTTAATGACTACATCACATAAATCTTTAACCTAATCTGTTTAGTAGAAAACATTAATACAGATTACGATAAACACTTCAAATATAACACCATTCACCCTTTGGCGCCATGTACATAATGGAATTGTAAATGATATGCGAATAATGGCATTTAGCACAAACAACCGGAAGCACAATATACATTTAGAGTGGCTGCCATCCCAACACAGCTGATCGACTTGCAAGATCAGCAAAGTGCAGACGTGGCCGTTGGCTCAACTCTCACGAGGATCTCGCACCTTATCAGAGCCTCCTGCAAGAACCTGACTGATAAAACTCCAAAAGACCTGGAAACTGTAGTCCATGATGCAGTTCACATAAGATAGAACAAGATATTGCGATGCGACCACGAGAATTGGGCTTCAATATAGGCGTTTTGGGAGGTCGGCGAAACACGCAGTGTAGGGGGAACTAAGTCTGCAAAGAAAACATTCGCATTCACACCCCAGTCATGAGATACAGAGAACCTTGTAGTCATTTTATCGGATGTACTAGAAATTATGTTTTGTCCTTAATGTGTAATTGCTGTAGCACAGCGTTTGGACGTTTATTGTGTAAAGTACTAAACAAAATTCGACTTCTGGCGCAAGAATCTTCTCCCAAATCTGATTCTTTCCCTCTGCCTCCCGTTCAGCTGCTTGGAAGTCTCGTCTGCCTGAGCCTGGCGGCAGCCACGCCATATGCCCAGGCACCGCTGCCAGGCCAAGAGGGCTACCGCGTGCAGGCGCCCGCGCGAATACCTTCGGAGGTCTTCAGCGCCCCCACAGTGCCCCCGCCGCCGCCCCCGACGCCCAGCCAGCTGTACGCCACGCCCCGCCAGCAGGAGCAAGAGCCCGCCGCTGCCCAACAGCCCACTGTGGTTGAAGATGCGCCTCGCGCCGCCGGGCCTCCTGCCCCGCCTCCCGTGAGTTCAGAGCAAGCCCTTTGAAAATGGCTTCCTGGTTTGTATGACCACGAAGTCACCACTTCCTTTCAACCTATTTTTATTTAACAGACAGCGAGCATATTATTCTCATCTCTGACCAAGGCAGATCAATTCCCTTCGCAGATGGAAGGCATGCCCTACGAGTTCGAGTGGGACGTGAACGACGTGGAGAACGGCCTGGTCTACAGCCACCAGGAGAGCTCTGACGGCGTCGTGGCCCAGGGCGAGTACCGGGTCCTCCTTCCCGACGGGCGCCTCCAGATCGTCACCTTCGCCGACCGCGGCCAGGGCTACGAGGCCCAGGTCGTCTACCAGGACTACAGTGGTTAGGGCTTCTTGCTCCTGTGAAATGTTAAAGGAAGCAGACAGACAGCGGGAGAGAGAGAAAAAATGGGAGAGAGAGAGAGAGAGAGATGAAGAAAGAAAGAGTGGTATTCCGAATCAGAGGGAGAGAGAGAGAGAGAGAGATGAAGAAAGAAAGAGTGGTATTCCGAATCAGCGAGAGAAAGAGAGAGAGAGAGCGAAAGAGAAATGTAGAAAGGAAGAATGGTATTCCGATTCCATTTCGATTTGCGCGGATCGATTATTAGAATCAGAATGCATTACTGTCTGCATCAATGGAATCCTGTCGTGAGATCCTCTAATACCGTCAGCAGTGGACTCTGGCTGACAGTGCATAACATTAAGAATTCTTTGCCTCTTTCGTACTGTTGCATTGTACAGGGTTTACGGACTGCACTGTCCATCGGGTATGGGCATGTGCTTCGTTTGTTGTTGCTGTTATAAAGTCTATTTTCTCCAAATGTATAAATGCAGTTTTAATGTTATCTTTTTTTCTTCGATTGTTGAAAAATATTAAGTATATCTTGTAATAACAGAGAATTGTCTTTAATTTTTACCCTAATTTGTTTTTCTATTAGAGCAATTTCTAGATAGAGCAGAAATTATACACACAAACTCATGGATGCACATAACACTCATATATACTCATAAACACAAATACAAACAAACAAACAAGCGCGCACCACACACACACACACATATTAACACATACAAATATGTATACATATGTCCATACATACGTACATATCTTTATGAACACAAACTAGCCCACTCATGCATATACAAACACTGTAATATAAAAAAGGAACTATCACGTACAAATGTAAGTAATTACTAATTACAGCCACCCAGTAGGATGGCTCATCCCTTGGGTATAGAGAGCCGGACCTCAACCTAGACCAAGGACTTTGGGGTTTACAGTCGACACATGCTTGCACTCAGTATATCGGAATCACAGTCACAGAAGTCACAGAACTATGTACATCCTGGTGGCGTAGTTCATCGTAGCAGCCCGACGGATTCTTCAGTGTAGCCTGTAACCTTTGTGGCAGACCAGGATAATTTGGTTTTCTTTAAAAATCACTTTAAGAAAAACGTAAAAAAAAAATAAGTTTGGAAAAAAATCAAAACATTTCTCACTAAAACGGACCAAAATATGTGAAACTACGATATGTAGGTATTTCAAGCCTTGAAATTTGAAAACATACAAGTTCACTCAAATGATTACTCCCCAAATTTTTTTTTTTTTTTTTTTTTTTTTTTTTGTCTTTAGCAGCACTAACGCCTTTGCTAAGTCCTTGAAGCAGCCAACTAACGTAGTGTATTTATTTACCTGCCCTAACTGTCAAGGCATGTGGAGTCGACCTCACGAAGGCTACGTCACCACATCCCTAAACACAAAGGCGTCTTTCTTAACCATAGAGGAGTCCGAGGTTTAAATATATATTTATATGTGTATATTATACATATACGTTCCCACGCCCTATATATATATATATATATATATATATATATATATATATATATAATATATTATATATATATATATTATATATATATTGTTATATATTATATACTATATATATAGTATATATATATATATATATGTGTGTGTGGTGTGTTGTGTGTGTTGTGTGTGACTGTGTGTGTGTGTGTGTGTGTATGTATATATATATTCTATATATATATATATGTATACTATATATACATATTATACATATATTATATTATATATATATATACTTTTATATTATTACATATATTATATAACACATTTATTATACATATAATATATACCTTACATATCATATACTATATTTATTATATATACATACGTATATGTATACATAACACTTATTATATAATCTATTTATTATATATATATATATATATTATATAGTGTGTCAGTGTGATTATGTATATGTGTGATGCGTGTGTGTGTGTTGTGTGTTGTGTGTTGTGTGTGTGTGTGTGTGTCTGTGTGTACTGCATTGGCCCAACCCGAGGAAAATACAAAGGCGGACAAACCGAAGGCGAGCCCCGACCGCAGAAACCGGCAAGTCTGTTTCAAAAGAAAATTACAGACGCGAGTTGCGGATTTCAGTCAGTTGCAGTAATACACGGAGCTGAATTCGCGGGTTTTGAGGGCGCAGAAAATTAGGTTCCCAATGAGGGAGTTACGATTTTAGATGTCAACAAGTGTTTCAAAATTTGTTTACTTCAGGAAGTACAGAGGGTGCCCCAGTTAAGCCTATAATTATTATCAATACTAGTATATTTATATTATTATATATATATACAACATAATACTATACTAACTATCTCTCATCTATATATATATATATATATATATATATATACTATATATATATTAGAGAGAGAGGAGAAGAGAGAGAGAGAGAGAGGAGCAGAGAGAGACAGACGAGACAGAGACAGAGAGACAGACAGACAGAGACAAGACAGAGAGAGAGGTACCACTTTTTTCGAGCCAACAAATTTCACATGATCGACCATTCATATGAAAGGTCCTCATTGAGGGCTGTGTTTTTGGATTATAAAAAAAAGTTGGTTACCAAATAAAGGAAAAGGAGCATGCATATGAAAAATAGAGGGGTTGTCATATCTTCAGCTTCTGAATAAGATAAAAACTTCTTGTAGGCTGCATTAAAGATCTCATTGAGTTGACGCATTACCAAATTAAAATTTCATTCCAACATATGACCCTGGAGTCTATTACAGCCATTGTTAACAATAATTACTAACCAATAGTACCACAAAAATGACAAAAATTTAACCAAAAAACAAATGAATTCGGTTGATTCCCGGGCCCAAACTTCGAGTCACGGGATTTGCACAAGCCTACCCTTTTCCCGGCCATTGGGGACCGAACACAAAACATGCAGAATTAATGCGCTTGTGTTGTTGTGTGAAGAGGAGAGAGAGAGAGAGAGAGAGAGAGAGAGAGAGAGGAGAGAGAGATGAGAGAGAGAGAGAGAAGAGGAGAGAGAGAGAGAGAGAGAGAGAGAGGGAGGGAGGTAGGAGAGAGAGACACAGACAGACAGACAACAAACTTGTCTGTCTGACTGATTGTGGTTCCCTTCATTTGGAACTGCTTTAGACATCGCGACCACTTTCTTCCATCTAACCACTGTAGCCGAATATACACGAAGCTCTATCTCCTTTTGTGCCTTTCAACACTGCATATAGATCGGGGACGTTGATATAACCGAAATCTTGAATTATCTAGAAAAACTAACAGCATCTTGAACTTCTACATCACTTATTTCCAACAAAAATACCACTGCAATACTGCCTGCATTGCACCACACCATTTCCTTTGCTGACTTTGGGCCATGGCACCTTTGCTGTAGATCTCCATGGCTTACTCTCTTCAGAATGTCTCACATGATGGTCATTGTTCCTCCCACACCTTTGTCCTCCAAACTCCTACTGTTTATGTAGCTGCACGCTTCACACAATTATCCTGCAATGGCTTAATGGCCCACCAGTTTCCCGCGCACCAAGAACAGCTCTCTCCTTGTCAACTCTTCCCCCACCTCCGAATCCCCACTCCTAAAAGCCAGTTCGCCCATTTGATCCCTTAATTTCAAAACCTATGTCCCACCACCTAAAGGTTCTGGTTGCAGCCACTCCAGACTTTTTCAGATGCTCCACTTCATATACCGGTACCGCAGTTCCATTGACCAATTTATCTTCAATGTATGTGCATGTGTATTATTATGAGAATTATCATCATACTTGGCACCATATGCAGTCTAAAACCTAAACATCCTTTTTCTATCCTCCAGCAACGGATATTTCCATCACTTTTCTGCCACATGAATTGGCAGGTAGGCAGACTTCAAGTCCATGATGACTGCATCTGTTCGCATTCACCTCCAATCCCTAAGCATCCCAAGACCCACATCAACTATATGATGGCCTGTGGCATGACAGAGATTTAGCTCTTGGAAATCCAACACTGCTCGCATTTTTCATTGGCTGAATCACCCTCCACCATTAGGTAAGCCTACTTCCACAACTCCTCAAGGTACCAATATTCCCCTCGTATATTCATCTTTTCTCCCAGTCGAAGTCTCTCAACACACTAATCCTTATCCTCATTTTTTATCACAATTAGCTCCCATCCCTTTCTTTGTCTGTGTTCGGTGACAGCCTGCTCCTACCCGTGACTAAGTCGTTTCTCAGGCTTGTGCTCGGACCTTCCTGTCAGGGCACATCGAGCCCCCTCTTCTCCTATTACAAATGTCCAAAAACTACCGGTTCTTTTCTGCCTGAATCATTATTATAGTTATCATTATTATCATTATCATTACCATTATTATTATTTATTATTATCATCACTATTATTATTACAATTAATATATATCATCATTATCATTATTATTATTATTATTTTACTGTATATATTATAATTATATTGTTATTATTATTATTACCATTATTTAATTATTATCATTATTATTACCATTTTCATATTATCATCATCGTTATCATTTATTATTACCAATCATCATCATCATTATTATTATCATCATTATCATTGTATTCTCCACAGCCTGAAGTTTCGCAGGGTTGCCTAGATGCCAACAGTTCTAACAATGACGAAAGGGAGACACTGTGACATGTAGACAAATGCGTTGTCTACACGTCCTTCTCTGCAATTTCATGCAATTATTTCAATTGTTTGATTCCTAATTTCAAGTGATTTCAGGTTTAAGCTCCGCCCGCCACAAATGATGGTGATGGATGATGATGGTGTGGTGATGGTGATGGGTGATGGTAGATGATGGTGGTGATGATGGTGATGATGAATGATGATAATTGATAATGATAAATGATAATGATAATGAGTGATAGTGATGGTGATGATGATGTGATGGTAATGCATGGTGTGATGATAACTGGATGGCATAAAATGGAAATAATAGTTAATAATAAACAACATCAGCTTAATGATGTAACAACAACAACTACAACTTGGAGGAAGATGGTAACATGAACGGATGGCCTTTCATACGTAGTCAATAAGGCTGGATTCAGAATGGTTAATGCCTTAGGAACGTGCAACGATAGAACATCGGCAGACAAGTATATGAAAAGAAACACAGGTAAAGATGGAAAGGGGGAGAAGAAAGGACCATGCAAAATTAGTCCAAAGCAGGGACGATTCCCAACATTGGACCTTTCTCCATTACTCAAGCCCCCACAAGGAGCGAAAGATTGGAGGGGTTGTGTACATCGCTTTAAGTATGCCTCTTGACATTGGGTAACTAAAATATTTATAAAATGTTGTTCTAAAAGATGTTATGTGAGAATTTCGTTCTTTGTGCCAAAGTATTGTGTACAAATCATTTTTTTATATATAACAGGAATTCAATATAGCCGATTTCTCAAAACTGGCCTGTTGTTGGTTCACTAGCCTTAAAAGATTGTTTCTTATAACAAATTTGGGCCATTTTGTTCCTTGTAAAATAAGTAAATGAACTTAAAAAGTCTTGAATAATTAGACCAATTAG